ACCACATTGGCTTCCGCTTCCATTTTGTCTTCAGCGATCATGTCCGGAAGGTGAGCAGCACAGAATGCCGGGTTATTAGAACAAAATATTCTTGTGTTGAGGGATTACTTGAGTAGAGGTCCAATGTCCATCTGCTACCGTAATACTTAACATATAGATATATGTACATAGATCTATTTCCCTATTGTTATATATGTTTACATATGTACATGGGTGTATTTAGACCTCTATAAATGTCCTTTGCCTTCTAGTTCTTTCCTCTATTTCCTTTTACTTTCCTCTTGTTCCACTATCATGTTCAGCCTTCATTCGGGTTTCAGTAATTCCTCTAGGCTACAATGCCCTTGATTAAGCCCCACCAGGCATCCTTTGCTCTCCTTGCCATCAATTTTACATTACTTGTTGTTCCCTTGTCCCTGGGTTTAACACCCACTTCCTTCCCCTGCCCAGTCCCCCTCCCCTCCAGTGTCCCTCGGAACCATCAGTCCAGTAGTTTTCTCCTCCCTATTGTTTATCCTGCCTATCTTATCTACCTAGACATGCAGCGACAATACGCAAAAAACAAAGCAAAACAACAGAATGAGAAAAAGAGAAAAGTCTATAAATAGTTCCAGGTCTGTTTATTAACCTTTAGGAGCGTTTTTTGGTAGCGTCTAATTGGGTGCCACTTCCTGGCCCAAAGTCTATTTTTGGTATTCCCCGGGGACTTCAATGCTTTGCTCCCCTTGCTGCTCTGATGCACGCCCTTTAGGGTTTCACCCCAGTGTGAAGGGGTCAGATTGGGCACAAATCCCACACTGTCTCCAGTGTTGTCCCCTGTAGCACTATGGGTCAGTGAGGGACATTGTGCCTGTCTCGTGTTGAGGCTGGCCCTGTGGTCCTCTCTGCACTGGCTGCTCTGAGCAGGAATATCATCCTCAGGCTTGGTGGGCCAGGATGTGCTCCACTCTCTCTCCCTCCCTCTTCATTTGCTCCTGTGTGCCCTGATCAGTCATGCCTCTCTCCCTGAGCTGTAGCTTCAGTGCTGCCCTCTGAAGTGCATTCTTGGGGTGGGGTGGGGGTGTATACCTTCTTTTTAATCTATTCTTTCTTTATGCCCCTTCCCTAACTTTGCTTAATGTAATTTTTTTTGCCCCTTTTTATTTATTGTTATTTTTCCTTGTTATTTGTCTGCTTCCCCCCACCCTTCATGTTCTTCCTTTTGTTATTTTCTTTTTTGATGTTTTTGTTTTATTCTCTTTGTATGAGAGACATACATGCCCACATGACCCTGCCACATCTGTACCTCATGCAGCCTTACCTATTGGGCAGGGGCCACTACCTACTGTATCTCCTGATCATAGACAAGACAATAGCCAACACAACTAAACCGGCCCTCAAATATGAACAGCAAGCAGAGAATTGCACACATACTCAATTTCTCTATCACACCCACCAGGAGACAGGTGGCTAAGGTCTCACCAACACGCAATCATCAATTAAATACAAATACAGCACTACCATGTCTCAGAGACAACAGACAACTTCAGTTCACATGAATTACCAAGATAGGGTGGTTCAAACATGGGCCCAAAATACGGAGCCTAAAGACCCTTTTCAGGCAGAAATAGCATTGGAACTACCGAATCAGGAATTCAAAGGAATGGTATTTAGACTTCTTTCACAGATAGAAAGATTGAAGAAAGCAAGAAAAACACAGGGAAAAACTTTAGACTAATTCAGAAAAATGCTATAAAAGCTAACAAAGTAAATGAAACGTCAAAAGCCATAGAGAAATAGCAAACAGAACTCCACAAGGTTAGTACTGAGAGTTCAGAACCAGACGATACAGTGAACGAGCAAAGGAGCAGAAGTGAATCAATGGAAGAGCAAGCAGCCAAGCTCGAAAAGCAATCTCTCAATACTAATCTGCTGAAAGAACAGCTAAAAAGGGGGGGGGGGTTTTCAAACAAAGCCTAAGAACTAGTGAGAACAAATACGAAGACTAACTTGTGTAATCAGAACTCCAAAATAGAAAGAGACCCACAAAAAAAAAAAAAGCAGAGAGAAAACTGTCTAGTCCCTGGAAGATTTCAAGCCTTAAATCAGGGAATTATGGAGCCCTTCAGATTTGATTAAATACAAGTTCACAAACACAGAATACAAAATAACAGAAGCAACTGTTTCATGAGTAAGGAACAAGAAGCTATTTTAAAAGGGCCACATTTTTATATGAGAGAAGGGGGGGACTTCACAGGGGAGGTAGTTCTCAAAAAAAAAAAAAGGCTGTAAATGTTGAAAAATATGATAGAATTAGGAAATCATCATTTTGTATAATTTGATAAATGAAAAGGTAATGATTATCAATCAATGTCACAATTATAGGGTAAAGGTGATTGAGGTATAGTCACAGTATCTCAAAAGTATCACTTCCCAGTATTTATTACAAAGGGAAAATGACCCTTTCACAAAGGAATTTAGCATCATAAATAATGGAACACTGACATCATTTGACTGTGGTTAGGATACAAGAGAAATCTCAATTATGTAGTACCCTTACTCAAACGTCCAACATTTCACTAAGGAAAAAATCCGACAAATCCAGATTGCAAGATATTCAACAAAACACGTGGCCTGGACTATTCAAACAAGCCAATGCCACCAAATAAAATAAAACTATGCTGGAGACGTAACTATTCTATATTAAAAGAGGGATTAAAAAGATGAAACAATAAAATGCAATGTGTACTCTTTCAATATATCCTGAATTTAATATATATACATTTTTTCAGAAAAGCTGGCAAGTGACACTCCTAGAACAACTTGAAGAATTTCAATATGAACTATGTATCAGATCATACTGTCAGACAGACTCACTGCCATCAAGTCAATTCCGACTCACAGGTAGAACTGCCCTGTGGGTCTGCAGGCTCATCTCGGTAACAGAGAAGAAAAGCCTGGTCTTTCTCTTGAGGGACAGCCGGTGGCCCCAAACTGTTGGCATTGTGTTAGCAGCCCAGTTCGTGACCTCCAGGCCACCAGGGCTCCAACTGGTTGTGATGATGGTATTGTATGAATTTCAAAGGGTGTTCTCACAACGTATTTTTAAGTGGGTCAGAAATAGAGCAAAAGCAAATGTCAAAACATTTACAATTTTTAAATCATCAGTATCATGGAGAAGAATAAATGAATTGGTTTAAATAGCCGCTTAATCACAGTGGACGAAACAACTTGCAAGACTGGAACACACAGCTGAAGAAACAACCCAGAACGCAGCCAAGAGTCAAAAAGCGAGAAAAACACATGGATGACCAAATGAGTTCTAACCCAGAGTCTCAAAAACTTATCACCAGGGACATTGGTGGGTAGGGAATTATTTGCTGTGGGGGCTGTCTGTGCAGTGCAGGCTAGTTAACAGCATCCTTGCCATTTTATGACTTGATGCCAGTAGCCTCTCCTCCAGCCAGGCCCCTCTGCCCTGGCATTGTGACAACCAAAAACGTCTCTTAAACTCAATGCCATGGAGACAATTCTGATAAACAGTGACTGTACAGGACAAACCCCCTGGGTTTCTGAAATTTTAAATCCTTACAGAAGTTCCAAGGAGCTACTAGTGGATTTGAACTGCTGACCTTATAGTTAACAGCTTAATGTATAACCCATCTCACAAGAGCTGTCAAATAACCAGGGGGTAGGGTGGAGTAGGTTGAGAATCCATGCAATCTGAGCACATCTAACTAGAATTCCATGAAGATAATGGAGATATGGGAAAACCAATAGCCAAAGAGATCAAAGTTGACCATTTTCCAAACTGATTAAAATCCCAACACAGCTATCATTCAAAACAAGGGCAACATAATAGTCCAACTTTACTGCTGAAGTCTTTCCACCAATCAACTATCATTTAAGGAATGTCTTAATAAGATACACAGGAAGAAGAAAAATGAAGGTCTAAGACAACACAGGTCTAAGGAACAGTAAGCAAATAGATGATACTCTGGACAAGCTAATGATGCTTCTATAGAGACCACGGAAGCTCATGTCGCACTTTACAGCCACATTAAAAATAAAATCTGTCAGAAAGCGGTTTTTTCCTCTACTGTATGACAACATGGAACACCCTCGATTCATTTACATGATTTCAAAATGAGAATGAGAATCAGGATCTTACTGCAGATCGTTTGAATAACTACATGAAATAAGAAGGATGTGTTATTGCTTCAGAAAGGTTACGTGGTTTCACCAGTCAACAGGAGAGTTGGAATTTAAATCCCATTCTTTACACACAACTGATGGGCAGGCAGCCCTTTAGAAGAAGCCAGGCTCAGGCTGGTGACTGGTGAGTTTCAAATATGTGGCCCATCCCCTCACATATTTAGCTTGTCCGTGTCCTCAGCCTGGAGGGTTTTTGTTTCCTGCAAAGTCAAATTTTCCCCTGTTCTGAGGGGTAAATGTCAGGTCTTCCCTCAGGCAGATCCTGCCCAGTCCTCAAGAGCCCACCTCCCCCTTGAATTCTAGCTGCACTTAAGATCAGTCAATACCTCACAGGAAGTGCTTCATGCTGCTAAGGCTTCTTGTCTTTCTGCTCTAAAGACTGCAAACCCCTGGAAGGGAAAAATTCTGTCTCTCGACGTCTCACATCACAGAGCCAGGCTAGTAAGGAATACAGTTAGCATTAGGAAAAACTGCTCGATTTTCTTTCCTCAAGTAAGATCTCGTTCTCAAAGTTTTAGAAAAGTCTAAGCCCACAGAAGTGTAAAGGAAACTGAACACGGTTAAAAGCACAAATTCTAAAGACGAGATCCTCCAGAACCTTCATTTTCTTCCCTGGATATAGGCCAGGATCATCTGAATTTTAAAAGCATGGATTTTAGATACTCGATTATGTTACACATCTGTTTAAAAAACATACATAAATCCAATTTAGCTAAACAAAGACTTGTTAAGACATGAATTGAGTTTGGCTTAGACATTAGGATCATCCTCTTGGGTAGATTAAAGAAATGAGAGAAAACACGTACCTTGCCAGTTCCAGGAGGTCCTGCCAACAAGACAGCTCTTCCAGCCATTTTCTTGCTTTTGATTAATTCTACAATCACACCGCATGCCTACATGCCACAAGGAAAAGAAATAATAATACATGAATATTAAAATGCTCAACAGGGGTAAAAAATCCAGTCTCTGGTCCATATAGTTTGCAGATTCATTCAATAATACTAAATGGATGGGTTGGAGGAAGCCGGTAGACTGTGCTCAGAGTTCGTATTCTAGTGGAGACAGACACAGACATGAGTACTACACAGTCTATCCTACAGGGCACAGAGCAGGGGTCGGTGTGCTGGCAAAGGAACCAGCAAATTCAAAAGCTCAGAGCAGGTACAAACCTGACCGGTTCGGCTCATCCAGAGAACAGAAAGATGAAAAAATAGGCAGGGGCCAAAACTTAAAACAGGCTCGTCGTGTCTCTAGTGAAGTTTGGATATTAGTCCATGTGCAATGGGAAGCCAATGAGAAGGCCTCAGGCCATGTGCCATGTTATGATTTAGAAATAATATATCGAAAATGGACAGTAAAGGAGCAGGTAAGCAAAAGCAGAGTTGAGTCCAGGGCCCACAGACACTTGAAATGTTCATCCCTGCATTTTTCCAGATGTGTATAAGGCTTTCCATAGTGTTAACAAAGTAAGCAACTATGGTTACTGGAGGAGCAAATTAACTGGCCATCAGTGAACCATCTCCAAACACTGCACAACAAACGGAAATGCTGCACACGAAGTTCAGTCTACGGCACAAGATGTCTTTTGAATCCTCAAATTATTTTATCATTTAGTGTTAGTGAATTTTAAAAATATTCTATACATGCAATAGCAATCATGATATATTTTAGAACATTTGACTATAAAGGAGCTAGACATATTTCCAGAGCACCTACATGCCAAGCTTCTGTTGATATCTCAACACATGACTAACTCACTCATTGCCATCAAGTAGATGCTGACTCATGGATACAAGTGCCACTGTGCGTTTCTGAGACTGACTCTTTACGGGAAGAGAAAGCTCCATTTTTCTCCCTCGGGGTTACCTGGTTTTTTCAAACTGCAGTCCAGTAACCACTAAGCCACTGGGCACCCTGACATGACTACCTAGAAGGCGCATTTCTCTTGCCTGAGGGCCACAGCTCTAGCTCTAGGTAATGATCACTGTAGTCTACTGGCAGGGCCCTGTGAACACATCCTTTCTCCCCTACCACTGGAGCAGGGCCCACATCTCCTTTCCTCCCTAAGGCCTATGGAGAAGTACCTTGGTCCCCTCAGAAACTGAGTGTTCAAGGAATATGTGTGTGTACGCTATATTCCATTTCTGGCTCAGTTAGCAAAGTTAGAATTCTCTGAGGAACTCAAAAAGGCAAAAAAAGACTTTCCAAACCTGGGGTACGCACTACCCTATTTACCAAGTAGAGTCTCTTCCATGTAATCTCCCTCAATTTAAGCTCCAATTTATCTTCAGGGAGGTATGTCCAATGAATCCTAAAATTTAAAAGAATAGGAAGAACCTCAAAAAACCACCTAGTAGAACTCTAATTTCAGACGTGGGGAACAGGCACCAGGGAAGCTGCTGATGTGACCAAGGGCACTAAGGGAAGTCTTCAGATACCTATTCATTCAAGAAATACACACTGAGTCCCTAACAGCCAGGTTCTGGATATGTAATAAACATTCCAGTCTTTACCCTCACAACTGTATGATGCATACAGCATCAGGGCGAAGAGCATGGATTCTGGAGTCAGGTAGACAAGATAAAGCCATGCTCTGCCACTTACTAGCTGGGTAACTCCAGACAAGATACTTATTTTAATCACTGTGGACCCCAATTTCTTCATCTGAAGACTGAATTGACAGTGAATGACATGCATGCAAAAAGATGCCTGCAACTTACTTTGAAATACAAAATGGATTGGTAGATGGATGGATGAATGGAAGAACATGAAACAGCAATATAGTATGGAGTTAGTTGCAAAATTTAAGCACAATGGTATTCACTGTACAAACCTTTCGATTTTTTGGTGTCTGAAAACTTTCATAACACAGGAGAAGGGCAATTAACATTAGCTTTGAGGTGGGAAACAAGATGATAAAGCTGCTTAGTATAGTACTTGGTAAAGAGAACTCCTGAAACAAATAACAGCTACATGCAGTAGCAGGTCCTCAGTGAGTCAAGGCCAGATAAACACAAATTTCAAAATCATCCTGAACCTGTCAAGTTTCCATTTGGAAAGATGCTTTTCTCTGGTCTTTTGTACAATACAATCAGGCTGTGAAGCAAGTCTTAAATCTCACAATAAGTTTAGGGTATTATAACTGCTAGGCCATGATTTGGCTGAAACCAGGGCTGTAGCTCAGAGCACTGATTTAGGAGTCAGACATAACAGTTGTGTGAAATTCCAAATTTACCATTACACTGGCTAAGTGACTTCTCTTGCCCTTAATTTTTTCCATCTACATAAAAAGAAAGAGAGGGGGGCTCAAATAGTGTGTAATTATTGATAAGTTGCGTGGGAGAATATGGCACCGCGGCCACTTAATAAAAGTGGTTTTAGTTGCAACAGTCAGAAGGGATGCTTGGAGGGACTTGTTTGTAAACCAGCCTGCTCTTCACCTAACTCTCACCTCTTAGCCCTCGGGAAACAAATTTCTTTTTAAAGGTGGCTCACTTCCTCACTTAAAAAATGAAAAAAGAAATCTATGGCCTCCAATGACATTCATAGTAAAATCCAATTCCTTAAACTGACCTTTAGCTACCAAAGTTTTGTTTACTGAATTACATGTTTATCCTCTCTGTAAGCTCCACGAGATCAGAGACCTCAGTGTGTTCTAGGGTCATGAATAGAACTTGGCACGAAGTGCAAGGCTTCATCCGTACTTGCTGCATCAAAGAACTGAAGTGAACAGTCAACTACGCCCACCCACCCCCGAAGTAGTTACCATCCGGCGGGGCGATACCTCCCCTAGAACCGCGTGATCACCCGCCTCTCCATCACTACAGCCCATTTTGGCTGCCCAGACGAGGCCCCGAGTGAGCAGCCCATCCCCTTAAACAGCCTCCTCGTCTCAACGCCCCACCTCAGCGACCCCCACCCCCACAGCGCGCGGGCCACACCTCTCGCGCGTTCTCCTGGCCCACAAGCCCCGAGGCCGCCTGCTTGGCTAAGCCGCCCTCATCCAAGCCCAGCCCCTTCACATGGCTGTGGGAGGCGATGCGCTGCGTCTTCGTGGTGCTCTTCACCTCCTCAATCTTCATCTTGCAGACGCGGACCGTGAGTGAAGCAGCCGCGAGTACCACACGCAGGGAACCCGGGTTACCATGTGGCCGTTACTACAGCGGTACGCGAGGCCCCGCCTTGGTCGGCGCTCCATTGGTAGAATGGGAACGTCTCTGCGTCCGATTGGGTGACCGGAACGCCCATCACGACTGCCTGTAGATCCCGCCCATCCACTTCCGGATGTGTCTCTGAGTACTTCCCTCCGAGACTTCCTGCCGCGGCCAGGGCCCATGAGTCCTTAGGAACGAACTCCTGCTGTAAGTCACTGCGCCAAGACAAATCCTAATCGTGCTACGCTATCACGATATAGAGTACTCGCCGCTTGTTGTCCGCTCCCGGCGTCTCATTCAAGCGTTATGCCCTTCAGTTCCGTTTGTTAGCCGTCTTACAGATGGAGAAACTGCATGGTTTACAAACTTGGTTTTATGGACCTTGGCAAGAGTTTCTGCCCGTGACTGTGGTCCTCTGTCGCTTTCAGAACCTGAAAGTACAGAGAGGACGCCCTGGAAGGCTGAGTCTATCACTGGTGACATATGATTCATCAACCCTAGGAACATCACTGGTAGGACAACCCACAAAGTTGTTAATTATCTAATTGGCTTATTCCGAGTCATTAGCCTTAAGGAAGGACTAGTTCCTTTGGAGGAGATAGCTGTGGTAGTTACATAATCTGGTGTCAATTTGGGACTTGACGGGATTTAGAGTGAAGGGGTGGAGTCTAATCTGCCAATCGGATCATAGTCGATGAGGCCTCTGTGTGGGCATGGCTTTCTCCTGAGAATTCTGGTTTTTCCTCCTTGGAGTGGGGGACACATCTCTTTCTCTGCTCACTCCCTGGGAGACATTGCAGCTGACAAGACACATGGAACTATGCTAGTGCCCTGAGCTAGAGAAGGTACATGGACCTACCCTAATGCAGCCAGAACCCTGGACCAGGATAAACCATGTGGAGACCCCTGTCAACAATGACACGCTTGCAATACCACTGGATCTATAAGACTTCCCACCCACTGGCCTGTGATCCTTCTGCATTTGGCATCATTGCATGTATTTTGTGAGTCTGAAGAGGACTTTATAGATTGATATTGGGCATATGGGCTAATAATGGACTTACGGGCTTGAACTGGACTGGGTTGGGATGCTCTCTTAATGTACTATTACC